CATGATGCGGAAAACTTCAGGTTCCGGTCTCACATCACGCCAACATTCTGGATAAGATCTTCGAAACTTCATTCGCCAATAAGTCCACGTTCGCCACCCCCGCTCTTTCTCCGGGAGCTTCTGCGTAAACACGTACAATGTCCTCGGTTCCGGACGGTCTCACGAAACACCGAGCTTGCGGGAATCGCGAAACTATATCGTCGATTGCCTCTTGTAGCCCTGTCGGTGCTACGCAAGTTCTCTCTGCGTTCGCGGTCTTGATCACAGTTCGATCCTTCACGACGACCTTCAGTTGTCGACACGGCAGATCCTCGTATTCACGGAGCCAGTCGCTGACGTCAGTGTCCGAAGTTCTCAGAACATATTCGACGAGAAGCATATCTGAGAGAGCGTCACCCACTGCCTCGTTGGTGAGGTCTATGAAGTCTCTTATAGTAGCCGCCTCTTCAGAGCTCAAAGCAGACACACGATTTTTGATCGTGTCGCTGAAGCAGATCGTTCCGTGCCCGTTTGCCTCGAAGTATATACCGACGTCGGCTTTCTGAGCTTCATGGTGGAGGTGCTTCACGCCCGTTGGAACGCACAATGCATCTATTCCGAGTTTCTCCGAGATGTACTTGGTAGAGCTCCCATTGGCGTAAGCAGTCTGCACTAAAGCTATTCCGACATCGCTCAGTCCCGCCTCCCCGAAGAGTTTCTTGATGTAGGCTCCTAGGAGGGTGGCGATTCGATCACCGTCCAGAAGCCTGAACTTGCCGTCCGCATCTTGGAAGAAATACACTATACGATCCGCATCACCGTCCAGAGACGCATATCGGGCGAAAGTTTTCAATGAGAGCCCGACCGGAGCCCCTTGCGAGATCTTGACATAGTCAGCGCCACATTGATCATTCAGCGGACCATTTCCGTCGTTCACAACGGTGATCTACTAAGATATTCTTCAGTTGTTCACTCATCAGGTGGACCGCTCGAGCTCCAACCCCGTTAGCCGCATCAATTGTCAGAGCAGGAGTGTAACGCAAGGGTTGTTTGGTTTTCGAAGCGAGTCGGATGAAGGCCGAGGTCAGTTTATCGTAGTACCCGTGCACGGATGGCTCACCGTATTTTGGATCATTCGTGCACCTCACAACGAAATGCAATTGCGGTGTTGTCACGAGCCCGAGATCTTTGACCGCACAACCCAGACTCGATGCTCCTTCGAACGCCGCGTCGTGCAGGGACACCGAGCTGGCTCGCGTGTCGTATCCAATTATCAAGTTACTCAGCGCATCGGTCGGAATCGAGAAGTCCGAAACGATCTTGGTCAACTGGCCCTCCAGTTGATCATCGTCTGCATTCAACACCGCGGTGACGCAGCGTTCCCAGCTCAGTTCCATCATTTCACCATGAGGATCCACGAGCTTGGCCCCGTTGTCGCACTCCGGGTTGTGCGAGGCCGTTACCATAATCCCGACTGTAGCTCCGCGCAATGCACGGGATCTCAAAGCGGCGACAACTCCTAAACGGAACATAGCAGTCTTCAGGACGTCAGACCTGGTCCGGACCCCGGAGGTTCCGTAGGAGAAAACAACCCCATCCAATCGCGGATAGAGCGTCGCGCTCAAATCGAGAACTTTTCGGAACATGGCTCAAGACGTCAAAACTCTAGTAGTTTAAAACTCCTGCCGCAGAAAACCTTCGCGCCGAGCTCACAACAACTCTGCCACGGACAGACTGACTGTCATCATCCAACTTTTCTGGCTTTTTAAATGATCTTTTACACATATTGGGAGAGTGCGAGGGTTAGACTCAGTGCGACCTTACTAATCATTCTCGGGCGCCCCGTCAATCGCTGGGATGATTCAAATTCTCTGGGGTTGGGGCTCTTCTTCGCTTTTAATGCGGGGTCGACCGCACTCGGCCGAATGGCATGGGAGAGGGGGCTGATAGCTTCTAGGAACCCGGATTATGACGGACCATCGGATGACTAACGAATTTCGAAAAGGTGATCCGGCCTCGTACTCCTACATGCGAGGGGTGTTTCTTCGTCGATGCTTGTTGGACCTCTGCGGGGAATTCCGCCTGCTTCGGGTGTTGTTCCGAGGGACCTTTCCACGGACTGGAATCACGAAAGTCGCGGTGGCTTTCTTTTCGTCTGATTCGATCCGATTCTGAATTCCTCGAATCTTTTCCTCCCCTAATCACTTCCGCGCGCTAGCTGATACTGGTGTTTACTATCACGCGCTATAATCCGAGTCTTCGCTTCCACTTTGTGCTCTGCATCTTATCAGATATCGGATCGAGTTCTCAGAGATCAAATTTTCGAACAGGCATACACCGATCGGTAACGATGGTCAAAGTTCACGCGTTTCTGGATTCCGAATGCCGAGTACGGCACCCACAACCGAATTCGAGCTCATTCAGGAGAGCTTTATAACTTTTCCACGACTTGTAACCATGATCGGTACCGACTGCTCCGTGGAAGGTGAGGTGAACGTCGTAGGATATTCGTTGAGATACCGTGAGTACGATTCTATTAGTCGATTTCGGGGCCTCTGTGTACACAACGAAAATGGCATCGAACTCAAATGGGCGGGTCTATTGCGGTTCAAGTTTCCTAGGCAGGTCCTTGAGAAAAATCAATGGATATAGGCTATTTTTAAAGAGGAAACCCAAAATAAAGGTGGCCGTATTACTCGGTCGAAAGGGCCCACCTGCCGCAAGGACACATGACGTTTTTCTAGACACGAGTCGACCTGAAAATTCCGCACTATCTCGTCGAAATCGCGAGGGGCGGTTCTGGTACTCCCCTTCTTAGTTAAATCTGACTCGCGTTCTGGAGGAGATGAGCGAAAACGCCGGGTTCCACGACGTAACAAATGAGCGATCCTTGATAACTCCTGACAAGGGTGTGAAAGGAATCTCGTCCGTGAAATATGATTGCCAATCGTTTGTCAAGTTTTTCGCAGTTTCGTCAAGAACTTTCCGAGATGAGCATGCAGTTCAATACCTTCAGGGTGAACGCTTCCAGAGCGCCAGATTTTTCCTTCGGTCGATAATCCCCCGGGTCGATCCACGTGCAGGTCGGTTTGGTCCTCGTGATTGATATTGGACCTAAGTTGGTGTGGCGGGCTTGAATCTGTATCCGACTCGAGTTGATCGAGGATAGAGTTTATTTGGCTCCGATATTTTTCCGCCCCTTGATTTTTTTCAATTCTGAATAGGGGTCATGGTCAGCGACAACCCCTGAGTGAGGCGGAGAAAGAAGTCATCCGAAAGATGAGGTCGCGTGGGACTCGTCCATCAACCCTCTCGGATGTCGCCTTGGATGACACCGATCGAATGAGCGATGCTCCGCTCATCGACGTGTCTGAGTTCATGCGCACCGGCGATCATACCGCGAGATCCTGTCTCATCTTCCGTGGGACGTTTGGCCGAAACACAGCCTCGTCTAATTCCGCGTAAAGAGTGCTCAGGGTCCGATCCAGTCGGAGGGTCAGTACTTTTAGAGTCCGGGTGCTGCCCCCTTTGCTGCTCACATACCACCGGAAGTCCAGCTTTGGATGCACTCCATACTGAGGTTGTTGGATGCTGCTCGGGCTTTGAGATGTTATACCTGTTGGGTGATAGTCGCGTTCTGGGTCATGGTGGTCCTTAGTTTACTTAGTGTCTTGATCTTCGCAGGAGTTCACTACCGTCTGACGGATCCCGTAGTGGAACCGAGCAGTTTATCCACCGACGCGCTATTCAGGTTGTTGAGGAGACTCATGCCGCAAGCGAACGCCACAAGAATTCTCGATCTAGAAAACGAAATTCTAGAGTCCGATCGAAGAGATCCGCCGACAAGTAGTCAAGCTTGGTGATCTCCCGGGCGGTTTTTGGATGTAAGTGTTTTTCGGATTTTTCCTGGTGCTCGAACCTGCTCAAAGATTCTTGCCTTCTCTGATTTTCTGTCGCACCCGCGATACGCACGATCTCGGTGGTCCCTCTGGGTACCCTCCTATCCGCGGCGATGCTCAAAGAAACGTCTTCGAGCGTTAGTGTCGGAGATAACGTAGTCGGGTCTAGATTGCGCATGCTCCTCATTATCAATAAATGGGCTGGAGTTTCCTCGTTGACTTCAGTGTCAGATATGCCTCGTTGTTCTGACTGGCGATTTGCCTTTCGATCTTTCTGGATCTCATTGTTGTGAGACTTCTTGTCAGCTACTTTCCTGCTCGGCTATGGGCCCAGCAGCACGCTTCCACCGGAAACTTATCTATTATAGATTATGATATCTCTTCGGTAGTTCCTCGGTAGATATCATTCGTCTCAGGCATCCTAGAATAGTTCGAGTTCGTCTCCGAATATCCCTTGGATGAGGGTAGAGATGAGAGAAAGTGCTTATAATGCATGTGATTCCGAGAAGGACGGTGAGAGCGAGAAAGATATTCCTTCCTGTGGTAATCACGCCTGGACTCGGCTCCTCCGTCGTGTGTGTCTGACTGAGTCATCGTTGGGGTGACGGCGGCGCGGTGCTTGTAGAGGAGGAGGAACGATTCTCGAACTTGGAATAACTCGGAGAATTCATCTGTGAGACACAGGAAATGAACCGCTCATCCATAGGACGGAGTGGGGAGCGAGGCCACGTCCGCATGGATCGTCCCGGATGGACTAGCTCGTGCTCTTTGAGGTTTCACTCTGTAAGTTGCGCGATGCTTTCTTCCTTGAATGCATGCTTCGAAGGATTCGAGGTCGTCGATAAGTTGTATATCCGCTTGTTTGAGAATCATCTCCACCTTTCCTTTGTTGATGTGGGCAAAGGCTTGATGTGCTTCCAGAAGGGATTTTGGTGAAACGCTGGGATCCTGAATTTCCGGATTGTTGGACTCGGTCTGCAGGGGCTCTGCAGCCTTTCGTTTATGTGCAGACAAAATAGAGAGACCATCAGAATTTCTGAGGGCTTTGATGCAGATGCGGAGCATATGCGTTGCAGGATATGCTCCAATTCTGTACTGATTTTGTAGGTCTCATCTGCTAGAAGACCTTTCGAGAATAGATTCCGTCACATTCTGGGAACGAGCAAGCAGTTAGAGAGAGTGACGACCACGCTTCCCTTACCGTTGCATTTCTTGACACGGAGTTCAGCCTCGTCAACGGCTTGGACTTTGAGTTTTCGTGAACCTCCTAGTCTGACGGTTTTGCCAGAAGCGACGGTTTGGAAGGACGTGAACCATTTTCTGTCATCTATATATATAAAAACGTATGTCTGTCTGTCTGTCTGTCTGTCTGTCTGTCTGTTTGTCTGTCTGTCTGTTTGTCTGGTGTCACCTATAGACTCGAAAACGGCTTAACCGATCGTCGTGAAAATTTAGGAGCGTGTTCTGGGCGATCCAGCGGTGGTTATAGGGGGGTCAGTTCTCCGATGCAATGAGTCCTTCTACCTTAAAAAAATTATTTGAGTGCTCCACCCACGAAAATCCGAAAACTCGGAAAAAAATTGAAAAATCCGAAATTCGCAAAATTCAAAAACGCCTGAACCGATCGCCGTGAAAATTCAGGGGTGGGTTCCCGGGAGCTTCAGGAAGGTCATCTGAGGGTCGTCGTTCTCATGTTATGGGTCCTCCCACCATGAGAAAATGATTTGAGTGGTCCTCTCACCGAAAATCAAAGATTTCATCAAGGGAAAGACGGGAATTCGATTTGTAGGACTTCCAACGGCTGGACCACTATGAGGGGGCGGATTCTCGGGAGCTCCTAAGAAGGCTATCGGGGGTAGCCGTTATCATTGGCCTCTGTCTTTCTACTTTCTACTAATGAATCTCGCAGAAAATTGCTGCAGCCGTGAAGGGTATGGATTTTCCGGAGGACATCTATCTATATAT